TTTGGTTGGGCACAGGGGATGGACTCTCGGATCGTAGCAACAACACCTGCTAGGGGATTCGTCCCGATCCATTATCCTCCTTCTTTCTTTTTCTATCTGCACCTCAAACACTTTTCTTCTTCTAATTTCCTCAGGGGAAATTTGGGAGAGGTTGCCCTTTTCTTTTCGCTTTCCTATATTCTATCTTTTTCTACTCTTCTTTCTTCCATTTCCGTTCCATAGAATGAATGAATGTTTGAATGGATGGGTAGTTGACACACAAGAGGAAGGGGGTGGGTGCGCCTTCCCTGTGCGAGCCTCGGTGACCATGGGACCCCTGGAATCGGCATGAATGAGTTTTTTTTTCTCCGCAAATGTGATTTCTTCTTTCTCTCTTACTGTCTTCTATCCATAGCACCTTCTTCATTTCATTGCGCTAGTGCATGGTGGAGTTGGGTTGGAAAGGTACCTTCTTTTTGGGGGTTTCCTTCTACACTTTTTCGGCAAGGGGGTCAAAATTTGGGCTTTTGTGTCGTTTTTAGTCAGGGAGGGGGGTTTCTTTATTTTGGGGATTTTGGTGCTGCATCACTTGAAACTGTAGGGTTTCTTTCTTCTGGGTGGGCACTGGATTTGGTTTTCTTGGGGGTGACTAGTAGTTGGATTGGGTTGTAGGAAAGGGGTTGCTATTGTCATGATACCCGACGGCGCGAGATTCCATCTTTACGCGAGGGCATGTCAATACCCGATTTTGCATACCTTTTCCGCTGCTGGAGAACCTGGGAAAATTCTTTGAAGGTGAAATTCTTTGAAGGTGAAATTCTTTGGGGGGGGAGTTATTTTACACTGAGGTGGGTTTTCGGGTTTTCAATTTGTTTGCTTCCTTTTCGAGTGTGTGTGCTGGGTTTTTCGATCGTCGGAAAACTTGTAGTTTCCCTCCTGTCGAAGGAGAGGGGGGGTGTAACAGTTTAGTTTATTTATATTCAAATTTCAAAATTACCGCTTGCTACGTTAGGCAGGATATAGGTGAGATGGCGTCACTTGTACGCGTGCTTCTTTCCTCGCGCAGAATCGCGTAATTTTTTCACTTCATTTCCGTTTTAAAGCCAACGAGGTTGTACTTGTAGAGCGTGGCATTGTGAATTCTTCTAAAACCAGTGGGTAATATTTGCCATCATTCACGTAAAATCTCTGGCAATTTTACCTGTTTATTGGCGTTGTCGAGTAGAGTAACTCAGAAGCCGTTTTCTCCGTTGTGAGGCTATATCTGGTGGAAGTTCATCGCCCTACCTACATGTAAGTGAAATGGCGTTGGCTTTCTTTTACGTTATGTTATCTAAAATTCTTTCAGATTCACAACCTCTTGGATAATTTCCATATTTCATTGATTTAAGTATTTTTCATTACCCTCCTGACGATTTCAGGTATGTTATTAAAAATCTCGTTAAGGGAGTGTTACATCTTCATTACTTTTAGGGGGTCCATGTAGTAGATGAATTCTTGTACCGGTCAATCCATGTAGTAGGTCAATCCTTGTACAGACGAATCCTTGTAGGTAAATGAATTTGCATCTTGCGAATATTCCGGAGTACGAACACCTGTTGATTGCCGGCAGCTATCCGGCGTACCACCGAGTAGATAAGCGCTAACACCTAAACGATACCGGGAGCGACCAGCTGATGGTGGAATTTTCGGAAGATACGATCTTTTACACAACCTTTTTTTTTATTTGCTTCAATACCGTTAATCTAGTGTAACCTTCCGACGATTTATGATCGGAGCTTTGTATTTTGTTCGCATCAAGTGTTTGAGGTCGTGACTCTCTTCAAGAGCAACGCACCTGTATTTAACGTATGGGTAAACGAGCCGGCTACGAGTAAGCTATTTTTGGCCCTTCCGGCTCATATAATCGTTCCGAGCGTTGTAGCTTGGGGTTTGTTTTTGTGTTACAGAACTGGAACTTCGAAGGAGAGCTCTTTTTCGGAGAAGACAGCGTATGTGTTATTCAAGGTAAGATTTTTAATTTACTTGTACCCAGTGTTGCCTATATGAGTTGTTATTCGGGTTAACTTAATTCAATCTTTGAATCCATTGAAATCTTAACTACATTTTTGCTCGATCATTGTTGTAGGGGTCTGGTAACGTAATTATTAAGGAAGTGTTCATGAATTTATTTGGGGATTATTTTTGTCATTTAAAGTATTTGTTATTGTCGTATTGAAGATACATTTTATTTGCCGATCCTGCACCGTTTTGCCAGGATTAATAAATCAGAATTGCTCGTAGTGAATTTATTATTTGGCTCTCTTGTGTTTTCCCAATTTCTATACAGGAGAGGTCAGAATTTGTGCAAAATTGGGTGGCGCTCAACTAATCATTTCTAGTGACTACCAAAGATCAAAAACTTATGTTATATGCCCAAACGAACAAACCGCTGTGGAAGATTCTCATCTCGAGCCCTTCTTTTAATTAAGAATCTGAGCTAGCTGGCCGTTTATGCGGCGGGGTTTGAGTTTTACAGCGCCGAACTAACCTCACGTTATATACTAGGAGAATCTGTGATTAAAATTGCAAAGAAATATCTACATAAATGCGAAAGTTGCCATTCTGCGCATGCCTCCACATAATTTTTACTATGTGCGAAATGTTTGCCTTTACTAGAAGCATCTGTGGTTCAAATTTCAAAGAAATATCTCTATAAATGAGAAAGTTGGCATTGCGCAGTCACTGCGCATGCCCACACATAATTTTTACCATATGCGAAATGTTTACCTTTACTAGAAGCGTCTGTGGTTAAAATTTCAAAGAAATATCTCCATAAATAAGAAATTTGGCATTGCGCAGTATGCCCACACATCACTGCGCATGCCCACACATTATTTTTACTATGCGCGAAATGTTTGCCTTTACTAGAAGCGTCTGAGGTTAAAATTTCAAAGCAATATTCCCATAAATAAGAAAGTTGGCATTGCGCAGTCACTGCGCATGCCCACATAATTTTTACTATGCGCGAAATGTTTATCTTTACTAGAAGGGTCTGTGGTTAAAATTTCAGAGAAATATCCCTATAAATATGAAAGTTGGCATTGCGCAGTCTGCGCAAAATATGGAGTTAAATGAAACTGATCGAAATGGGCAAATATAGACCATAACAGCTATCAATTAGCGAAAACGCGAAGTCTCTAGGTGGCCCAGGGGCCGAGATCTCGATGGAACGGACGGACGGACGGACGGACGGAAACACGAGCACATAAGCTTTACCTCAACTTCGTTGTGTTACGCTAAAAAGAACAAGGCGCTATAATTATTCTTACACAATAATTGTAAATGTATAATTATTAATTTGTTATAAAAGTTAAGCAAACTTGTGGAATCGTTAAGTAATGTATAACAAATCTTTCATTAAGTTCGCAACCTTTTTTACTAAGAGTCACCTTCATTATTTATCATTTATTTATTTATACAATTATTGTAAGTCTTCGTACGAACTATTTCAAAAGTTATGCAAACTTTATGTATCGCACTCGTTACTTATAACCCTTTCGGATTTACACACAAATTTTAGAAGAATGGAGATACATCTAATACCTATATAAAAATCTCATATCACGGGTGTTTGTGGTTGCACTCCTCCGAAACGGCTCTACCGATTTTTATGAAATTGTTTTTATAGACCGGGAAGCAGCGTACATAGTAACTAAACCATAAGCGACAACATATTCGACAATACAAACTGAAAGTACGTTGAAAACTAATAATAAAATCACTCGTCTGCCAGTCGTAAGTGGCAGCATTGACTTGGGGCGGCGCCGAATAGGTGACTTCTTTAAGTGATGAACTAAATTACCAAAGTATAGGGGTCACGGAAAAGATGTGTATCAAGAAATCCCATTTTCTTCATAGTTTTCAAATATACTATGGCAGACGATTTCAAGTGCAGCGTTGGTAGTGAAAGACGCCCTTCAATGTAGGGAAAAACACTCCTGAATTAAAACATGAAGACCGTATAAAAATTATACATTAAAAAATCCTCTTTTTGCCACTACTTTAAAATATATCTTAGAAGTTAAAAAATTTAGGTATAGTACATCCCAGCGAGTGCATGCGTGTGAGAGATAGGCGCGCATATTGTGTTGTCATTTTCCCGACTTTTATGTAAATAACTATTGTATACCTAGTATGAGAATATGTCGTAAAGTTTATTTCAAACCGTTAAGGTGATTATATTGTTCGCTGGGTATGTAAGGTGAGGTGAAACCGATCGTACATCTCATACAAGAAAACCTTGACTGAAAGGCGGTATGAATTTGGCCGGACGTGCGAGGTGAGGTGGCGCAGCCGCTGAACTCGAGCTAATGTCCCATATAAAGAAAACGATATTTCCCAAAGGCGGTGCGAAGTGCGCTGGGTTTGCTACTTTATTTATAATTATTTCAATTCGCGTGTCAAATTTAGCTATGGCATGGTGCCGTACAAATAATTAAGCCTTGAATAGGAGTGCTTGTAATTGGAGAATCTTAACGTTTTTATTTTTACAAAATAATAATACTTAATGGATTGCGTTGAACTGCATTAATCTTGTATACCACAGATATACACCAATGACCAAACAGTCTATAAAGTATATGTCGTATACACCATATGCCATGGATTGTAAGCTAAGAAATATCAAAAAAACTTCGGGATAAAAGTTATCCAAAAACACTAAACTTTATCCACGGTGCCAATTTCAATTTTAGCCTTAACCATACTTTCCGTATAGCCCGAATGCTCGCGTAACAGCCCTTATTCGTTGGGTCTGATTTGGTAATGATTTTTTATTCATTGCATAGGTAGCTCAAAGGGTTTTCGAGAAAAAAGGCTGGTACGGGTAGGTGATCTGATACATCGTATAAAGGTAACGAAGCGAACATTTAAGGAAAAGTAGTGCATCGACAAATTTTTTAATGGTTCATATGTTGAGGATTGCACGATCTTTTATTATGTTCCCCTATAGTATTTGATTTTTTTTAGTAATATCAAGATTGATTTTTGATTGTTTATTACAATAGGTACATTTCGTAAAGTTTAAAGAAAACTATTTTTTAAAAAGTTACTACGACGCAGCAATCCTTTTCACCTGTAGCTTGCGGATCCTATACGACACACGTCACATTGACGACTGTTTCAATTTTATAATATCCACAAATAGATATTAATTGAAGTTTTTAATGGTGTACGTACGTACGTAGGTTGGGTTATGGGTATAACCATAGACCAAATACTGGTCTATGGTATAACGCTCCACTAATGCATATTGTGAGATTGTGGGTATGTTTTACACCTTAATAGATATGGTTTTCAACTCCAAGTACTCTTTGAGTCCTTCTTCTCCTCTGTAACAAAAGAACCAAAGATCAACGTCAATAAAAAATTACTTCGATACTTTGTCACTTAGTAAAGGCAATACACAATGATATAGCATGGGACAATTGGAACTGGAACTCGTCTTAGTCATGTCATTGAAAAAACTTTTTTTTGCTCATTGATCATGTGGTATAATAATAATAATAATCTTTATTCCAACCTAGAAACAAACTGCAAACACAACAAAAAAGTAAAAATTATATAAAGTACAAAAATAAACGAAAACTTAATTAAAGATAATGTACCTACTAGCGGCCAGTTGCACAAAAAAAAATAATCCAAGGTTATTGTTTAATCCGGTATTAAGACATTTGATTGGTTTTATCGTTGTATTTATAAATACAATGGTGTTAATTGCAGTAGGCAGCCAATCAAATGTCAAAATTCTTGTTTAAACTCAGATTTGGCAAATACTGTAGGATTCTGATTATAATTCGCTTTCCTGCAACCGGCCGTAGGTGACATCATGGCCTAATAAGAGTATATTAGGCCATGGGTGACATAATACTACACCAGTAAGAGTAATGACTAATGAGAAATAAATTACTCTGAACACTGCGAGGATAAGCAAATCCAAGGTCATGCTACAAACGCAATAGGTACACACCATGGTACACACGCAGAGAAATCTAAACAGGGATCAAAAGATATAACTACTAAATTTAATGAACATATTTTCAGCTAGATAAAATGTACGCAGTACGCAACGGATCGCTAGTGAATCTTTGGTAAATAAAAATTCCTTAGCTCTTTTCTTGAACACCCGAATTGATAGTTCAAATATACTTTGAGAGTAATGGTTACAAAAATAATTACAAAATTTTGGATTGAGAAACAAGAATGTTTTTTGAAAAAACGATTTAGTGACTTTAGGTAGACGCAGCAGTTTCTTAGAATATTGTCCAGTATTGTGGATTCCAGTACCCAGGTCAACTATTGTGCCAAAACCGCTACTCATCTAATAGAATAGATCAAGAACTTTGAATACATATACATAACGAAGGGGAAGCACACGAAGAGAAAGAAATAAGGGATGTAATCATTGAAAGCTTGCGTCAGTTCATGAGATTCATCGATACTCGATAGTCAAATTATTAATAAATCCTTAATCTTTTGTTTAGAACTACCAGTGTATGAATTAATGGTATCCATATTTTTTTGGATTATTAGAACTTATGATAGAAGAAAAGTAATTCCTTTTAACGATCTTAATCCAAGAATATTTAATCCAAGATTGAATATTTCAATATGATATGTAATTATGCGTCATTTTTGTACTCCGGTGCGTCAAATATATAAAACTATAGCACGGCTCCGATGACCACAATAGGTATTGCAATATTAATACTGCGCCTGGGTCCTGGGAGTACCATTTCGCACGCAAAAAACGTATGCGTATGATATTGTATAAGTTTACTAGCGATTCTATAAGATAAGTTTTTCAAAAGGATTTTGGGATATATAATTGCTTATTTAAGTAATGAATTTCGCGTTGTGCATATAACTATGTACTTAGATATGTTATGAAACTGTTTTAAAAAACACCATACCAAGCATTTTTTTTGTAAATTGCATCTAAATATAGGTACATAAAATTACTCACAACTCTCTTCCCATGCCAGATTGTTTAAATCCTCCGAATGGCGTCTGGGGTGAAATAGCGTCGTAGCAGTTAACCCTAGAAACACACCACTTACTTTGTTATTTACAATATATTCTCAAAGGAGATACCATACTGATCCAGCTCGTACCGATTTGGCATAGGCAAGGGCAGTGGTAATATCGTTTGTTAAAACTCCTGCGGCCAAGCCGTAGCTTGTATCATTTGCTCTTTTAATTACTTCTTCTAACGTATCAAATTCGAAAATGCTTTGAACCGGCCCAAAAATCTAAAACCTGACTCTTGAATACTTTTCAAGAATTAGGTATAGTGATTGAAAATCAAACCTCTTCTCTTGCAATGGTCATGTCATCTCTAACATCAGAAAATACAGTCGGTTCTACAAAGTAACCTTCCTTCCCTTTGCGAGAGCCCCCAGTTTGAAGATTAGCACCTTCCTTTTTACCACTTTCGATGAGCCTAAGAATTTTGTCAAGCATCTCTTGATTGACCTAAGAGAAATCAGTTACATTAAGCTTAATCGGTTATCGACCTTTATTGATGTACAACTTACCTGAGGACCTTGATCGGTGTCTTCAGCGAATGGATCACCTACCTTCGTTTGCTTTGCCATTTGAGTAGCCTTTTTCACAAATTCGTTGTAAATACCAGATTGAACATACGTGCGAGATCCCGCGCAGCAGTTTTGCCCGTGGTTAGCGAAGCAAGCACCATATGCGATTTCTACGGCCTTATCCACTGAAAACAAATACTAAATACTTTGATATTGAACACGTGAACTTGTACCATCGATATCATTAAATATAACAAGAGGACTTTTTCCTCCAAGTTCAAGAGAAACCCGTTTTAGATTGCTTCGACCAACCTCTTCCATGATTTTATTACCAACCTGTTTGAAATTCATTACTAGAACGTTATTTTTTAATAATACCATACCTCAGTAGATCCAGTGAACGCAACCTTATTTACGTCGGGATGCTTAACCAGTGCACCGCCTGTTGTTGGTCCATAGCCTGGAACTACATTCACAACTCCTTTTGGAAATCCTGCTTCTTTTGCCAAAGCGGCAACGGCAAGAGCTGACAAAGGTGTTTGTTCAGCTGGCTTGAGGACAACCGTACAACCCGCCGCTAAAGCCGGTGCCCACTTCCAAGCCAACAACATCAGAGGATAATTCCACGGAATTATTTGTCCAACTACTCCAACGGGTTCCTTAAGCGTCATGGTCATAAAGTCACCGTCTGCAAGAAATGCGGTTCAAAAATTGGAGATTAGAGTTAATTGCAAGGGTTACCTGAGGGAACTGTACTTCCGTGTATCTTATCGCAATATCCTGCATAATATTTCAGGACATTAACAGAAAATTCGACATCTACTAATGCGCTTTTATAAGGTTTTCCATTGTCCAAGGCGTCTAAAGCAGCTAGATATTCTTGGTCACGTTCGATTAGATCTGCAAGCTTATTACAAAATCTTAAATACGGAAAGTAACAATTGCAGTGGCGATTGATTACCTTCCCTATTAGTTTGCCTCTTGAAGATGCATACATAGTCCTCCATTCGGAGTTCTGTTCAAAGGCTGCCTTTGCAGCTGCGACCGCTTTGTCAACATCTTCCTAAAAATTAAACTAAATTAGAGAATTCGGTGTCAGTTTTGTGGCCAATGTGAAAAGTACAGTAGACTCCACGTCGGAAACGTCAGACTGGTCATTCGACGGATAGGTCACGGCAAAAGAGCTGTCAGGCGCCCCCAGAAATGCATTTTCCCAAAAAATGTTCTGGTCTTTGTCGATATGAGCTCGTATTATAATCGCAAGGCGAACATACGGCTTCCAAATTACTATTTCCGCCTGGCGCCTTGGTAGATACTTTTTATGAATACCTTTCATACCTTTTATTTTTCATTTGCCTGTTATATGTCAATTATATCTGTCATATGAGATATATAAAGCAGTCTATGACCCCCGAGGGCATAATGAGAGGGCATAATGAGATGACAATCCATTATGCCCTCTCATTATGCCCTCAAACTGCCTGTCAAATATATTGATGGAGTTATGTAATAAAGACAGATGCTACTTGATTCGTATGAAGCACTAACAATAATCATTACAGTTGGAAATGCATTATTTGGAACGATGAAAAATAAAATTTTGTATGCACCTCAGGCATTACTCGATATTTAACCCTCGGGCGACTTACAATCCCTCGGGCCAGAGGCCCTCGGGCTCTGTCGCCCTCGGCATAAATATCGCCTTAATGCCCTTGATACATAAATAACTATTTTCAATTGAAAAAAAATTATTCATGTGGCGTTTCTCATCTCGAGCATGGTTTTCAAAAAAATCCGTACATTTAGGTCTTGGACTTTTGTTGTCTTCCTTGGAGTCGTTCATTAATCACGTGACGATCGAAGAGGGGGGGGGGGCGCATGGGGCTCGCAAAAAATCACGAAATATCACATGGGGGAGAAGGGGTGTATTGAGACAATCACGTGTCATTATTTTTTCACTAAAACGCGTCTAAACCTGCAACCTTAATGTCGGTCTGGACATTTTTATCACGGTCCTTAATTAAATTAGATTATAGGCACTTGCCTGTATTTCAAGATAATATTCTGAATATTTTTAAAACACTTTGTACTAAAAAAATACAAGTGATTTTGGGTAGGGGAAGGGGAGAGCACGTATCACCAAGGGTGAGGGGATTTAAAAAGTTGATAAAAACCATCACGTGATTAGTGGACGACCCCCTTCCAACAATTGCTTCAAATTTTTAGCTTGTTAGCCCAAATGCTTTTATAATGTCATCACCATGGCATGAATGTTTAAAGTGGAATTAAATGATCAAATGTAAACAGACACAGACCGTTTCAAACATAGGCATCTACAACGATATTTCGCAGTTCTATAATTTAATTTGAAAATTTAGAGGTTGCAGTTGCGGCACGAAACGATGACGAAATTAAGTGAGCAGGTTTTATCGTAATAGCTGTTCCCTCAATCCTGAGATATCTGAGTGTCTGAGTACCTGAAAATATCTCACTACACAATGCGTTGACACTATAGTTGTTTCTCAAAACACAAACAATGAGACTATCTAGTCATACTGCGCTAGAACCGATCGTGCAGGATTAGGAGACTGCAAAATGCCACAACCATGAAGAGCAAAGCAAAACCAAGTACTGCATAAATATAGAAATATATATCAAAAGAGGGTAAAATTGGATTGAGTCTAAGTACGCGATCTGGCTGCACGTTAAAAAAAGAAAAAATATTACACGGCGCACAAATGAAAAAATTTGGCGTCTCACCATCAATAAGATCCTGTCGAAGGCTACCACAATCCCTTTGTCGGTACCCACTACCGATGCCGACGTCACGTTCACTCGCAATTCGCGTTTGAACTTTTGACCCAATCATCACACAGATCTTGTCCGGGGTAACCATATTTCCTTTGTCGGTACCCACTCCTGCTGCCCCACAGTCATATACAATGCGCCTGTTTTGCGGGTTACGCTAAAATCCTTGCCTAGAACCTTGCACAAAAGAGTATAGGTACTCAATTTTTGGAGCGCACTTCTCATAGTTCGAGCTTCTATTGGCGATACGAGAGAGAGAGAGCGCGATTCGAGCTTTAAGAAACTTTAAATCGTGCACAATCCTGTGACAACATTTTTTCTTTTCTACAACCGTGTCCAGCGGTGATTCCACATCTTAAATTAAATCAGTCGTCGAACGCAGATTTTAGAATTCAGCTCGCGAGCCGCACCACTCTGAATCGTCTCGATGTCGTCGAATCGCTTTTCTTTGAGTTCCTTTGAAACTATTATTTTGTGAAAATGGTACGGTACGGTTTCTGCTTTAATCCTACGAAAAGGGCCTGTAGGCGATCATGTTATTGGTGGTAAACATAGCTAAAACTTGCTTCACGATCATCTTATATCCCTCCTCTATCTTTCCTTCTTTAAGGCCAGACCGAGAGTCACTGTCAACAGATGTGCGCTCATTTCAAACCGCCTGTACCACTCCTTTATCTGTGTTGGGCCCACACTTTTGTCCCCAAAGGGCTTCTGTATCATTTCTCTTGGCGAGATTGTAGCAAAACTTGATGCAAATTCGTTGATCAGTTCTTTCTGTCATTTTCAATAGTGGTTGCAGTAGTACCAATGGCGGGGAGATATGAACGCAGGTTGGATACATTGCGGGTACACCTCGTATTTTTCAAAATTTTGAAACGACATCTTTCTATCGTCAGCCATTTGTATTGATTGGAATCGGTTGCTTTACTTACCATGAATATAATAAGCAAAAAAATCTCCATGAATCAATTGCCTACTACATAAAAACAGTAAAAAATAAGGTTTTTATTGATATTGTTAACTAAAATAAAAATAAGATTTTGGCAACTTTCTTATTTATGGAGATCTTTTTTAAAATTTTAACCACAGATGCTTCTAGTAAAGACAAGCATATCGCATATTCTAAAATAAAGGTAAACATATCGGATATTTTTAACATCAGGTGTGCGCATATTTATGAGATTTATGAGTTTGATATAATTTGCTTATCTGAAACGTGGCTTTATAGTGACGTTTCGGATTCTGAAGTGTTTCCACCGTCATACAAAGTTATACGGCGCGATCGTGACCTTGTTGCTACTGGTCGAGCAAAGGGAGGCGGTGTTGCATTAGCTATCCGAAATACATTCAAAACAATAAAATTGGACCTGTCGAAGTTAATGCTGTCTTTCCCAATATCGGTATAGTCGGCTGCAAGGTAATTTGTAACAATAATCAACTGTTGGTATTTGCTCTTTACATTCCCCCATCCATTTCCACTATTGAGTTCGAAGCATTCTTCGATGCTCTGGAATCTCTAGAGTTTTTTCTTGAAGATGTAAAAATCCTTTTCTGTGGCGATTTTAACGTCCCATTGTTTAGTAGCGAAGATAATGACTTAAAGTCAAACTTAGTTAATAATTTTTCAAATTTCCTCAATATGCAACAATTAAATACAGTGACTAACGCCAATGGTAAATTACTAGACTTAGTTTTCACTAATTTATCGTGTGAGGTTGTTATGAACGATTCACCACTAGCAAGACTTGACAGTCATCATCCTGCGTTGGACATTCATGTTATAGTATTAAGGACTTCAATGCTAAAGGTTTCAAGTGTAACAAAGACACAAACCTCATAAACTTTAAAATGGCCAATTTTCCTCTACTTTATGATTTAATACAATCAATTGACTGGACTGGCTTAAAGCAAGTGGACACGGTTGACGATGCATGTGATCTCTTTTATAGTAGTCTGAATCGGGTAATTCAGTTGTGTGTACCAACCTATAGAAAACGTAAATTTTCTTACCCCCCCTGGTTTACATCTGAAATTATTAATAACATAAGAAGAAAATATCAAGAACGTAGAGCTTATGATCAATTTAAAACAATGCCCAATTTGGTGAACTTTAGAGAACTTAGAGCTACCATAAAAAAGCAAATTAAAGAATCATACGCTGCTTATGTCGTTGAAGTTCAGCGAAATGTCATTAGTGATCCCTCTAAATTCTGGGCCCATCTAAACGCCAGAAAACGTAAATCCAGACTACCGGACTCCATAAAGCACAACGGTCAAATATTAGATAATCCCCTGTCAATAGTCAATGGTTTCTCCGATTTCTTTGCCAGCGTTTATAGACATTCTGACAACAGTTTGCTACAACATTTCGAAACATCTATTCACCGACCTACTATTACCATGCATACAATTGTAGAAGATGACATAATTCAAGCTGCTAAGAAACTTAAAAATAAAATGACCTCAGGTGTTGACAACATCCCTAGCCTTAGTGAAAGATTGTATACATAGCTTTATAGAACCTCAAGTATTATATATAACTTAATGCTGAAGACTCGTACCTACATATCCTGATATCTGGAAAAAAACGAAACTCTGTCCAGTGCTAAAATCAGGCGATCCATCAATCATAAACAATTACAGACCTATTGCTATTTTGTGCAATTTTGGTAAGCTGTTTGAAATAATACTTTACAACGTCATCTACTTTAATGTCAAATCGTTCATATCCTCGAGTCAGCACGGTTTCATGGCAAAAAGGTCTACCGCTACAAATTTACTTTGTCTCACTCAATTCATATCTGAAGCGCTTGATGTCAGCGCACAAGTAGATGTCATTTATACGGATATTCAAAAGGCTTTCGACCAAATAGACCATAGCTTACTATTGTCATAACTAGACGCGATGGGAATTTCCCAGCCGCTACTACTGTTGATGGAATCGTATCTTCACAATCGATCGCTTTTTGTCTCATATGGAGGTTTCAACTCGAAGACGTTTACTGCGTGCTCAGGAGTACCCCAGGGGTCTAATCTAGGCCCCTTACTGTTTATTATATATATAAATGATTTGTCTCGCTCTCTGAAGATGCCTCATCTACTATACGCTGACGACTTGAAGTCTATTCAGTTGTTACGAAACAGAACGGTTGTTTGGAATTCCAGAATGCGCTAAACAGGTTAAATCTTTGGTGCAATACTAACCATTTAAATTTAAATGTTAAGAAATGTAAGACTATGTCTTTCTATCGCAATCTCGCTCCTATTCTATATGATTATACATTAAACAACATCAACTTAGAAAGATGTAATACCTTCAAAGATTTAGGTGTTGTGTATGATATTGAACTAACGTTCAACGATCATGTAAATCATATAGTATCCTCTAGGTTATTGTATTAGGAACTGGAAGCACTTTAACGATGTGAGATGTTTACGTGTGTTGTATTTCGTGTTTATTCGATGTAAATTGGAGTATGCGAGCGTTGTTTGGTCTCCAATTTATCAAAAACATATTCAGCATATCGAAGCTGTGCAGCGCAAGTATTTAAAATATATACATTATAAAGTTTTTGGGAATTATCCAGCAATAGGATTTAATCATTTGCGTTTGCTTCAAATTTTCGAATTTGATTCATTGCAGTTCAGACGAAATTGTGCCTCGATCGCGTTCTTACGTCACCTATTAAACAATGAAATAGATTGTAGTTCCCTTTTAACTGCCCTAGCTTTCCGGGTCCCTAGATTAAATGCTCGTGAAAAGAACTTGTTCTACTTAAATACCAGCAAGACGAACGTTCTTAAAAGATCCCCAGTGTACAACATGTGCTCTAACTTTAACGAAATCGGCCAAATGTGCGATATCCATATTGACGGTCTTACCAACATGGTAGAAATAATGAGACAGTGCAGTTCGAGTAGTGCGGCATGGGTGTAATTTTTGATAAATGTAAGGTTCAGTTTTCCTTTATGCGCGTGTTTTTTTTTGTTTTTATTTCTTTTTTTTTAAGATTAAGTTAATTTAGTTGATGTAGGTATAACGATATTAGTAAGTTTAAGTTTGAGTATGTCACTTTGTGTTCTCCGTAATTGGGCTTGTCCTGTGGAGAATTGAAATTGAAATTGAAATAAGAATATTTATGCCATAACATATTTTTCTTTGTGCACATAATTAGTCAGTTACATGACCTTTCGGGAAGTACTGTTCATTTCAATTTAGGGACAATGTGCGAAAGTTGGTGGATCTGGTGGTGACTACAGAAAGGAGGTAGGTACCTACCTAATTCTCACCAGTTACAATCAAGAACCCAGTAGCGTCGCTTATTTGAGTGCTACCTACGTTTATCGGAATTGAACGTTGACCTCAGTCCTAAAGTATTTGTCTAATTGTCATACACTGTTCAGCGAAGCAATCAATATTTTAGCTTCCTTAATGTTGCATCCATAATATTATTTGTTATGAACACTCTGGTGAAGCATTGGCACCAAAGACGATCGATATGAATTCTGGAAAGGGTATAATGATCAAACAAAAATAGAATGGATGGTCTAAAATTGTTTACGGAGCGTGGAGTGGAGAGCTCTGACCACGCAAAAAATTAATACCTCATCGAAGTGATTTCATGGCTTCTCTAACTATACATTCTTATAAAAGATTTAAAAGTCGCGATAATCGAAATCATTGGGGATTACCAACCTGGGATGACAAACATGGTCAACATGGGAGCAGGATTAAAAATGCCTTCTCAGGGTGTCGGAATTGGGAGTTGAAGCAGCACCGGCTTTGCCATTTTATACTTTGCGTGCAGTGCCGGAACGATTCTCGAAAACGTTTAAATATTGATTTAACAAGTTAAAAACGTGGTCACTCGCGACCGATGAAAGTGCATTTTCCCCGCCCAGAATCAAAAATAACTCCGGAAGGAAGTGACCAATCCAAATAAACTTGTAGTTCTGATCTCTGGGCTGTACTACACCGTATAAGAAAGAAACCACAACGAAAAAGCTTCAACTAGACGACTAGTAGTGGTACAGACGGACAGACGGGCACACGGACAGGCGAACAGCCGCCCGAGTGCGATCATGACGTCTAATTCAGACACAACGTAGTATATAGTACCTATTTATGAAAAATAACGTTGGCGAACAATCGGAACAGTTAGGAGCAGTGCATTTGTTATGAGTATGAAATTTGAACACCAAATTAAAAGAAAAACATATATAAGGTGATGACTTTAAATGTTGCTTCGCAGGGTGCAGAAGTATCAAGAATATAACAGAAAAGAATCTACTAAGACATGGGACAGAAAGCGACATACAAACAATAAGAAAAAAATGGTTTGGGCACTTACTCTGTATGACGACGACCAAAACAACTATAGCCTGGGCATAGGGTAAATACAATTTACTCTATGGCCTGGGTCATCACCCAGAAGCAAAAAAAAGGTCGACTTCGTGGATCGTAGATATGAGAAGCAATTGCAGATCCAGATATGTCTTACTGGTGCCGATTTTTGCTGTAGGTAAGCATCCAATGATTAGGGTATTTTCCACTTCAAAATATGGCTAATTATAGAATCGCTATATGATAAGATCATTCAATAAAGCTTTGAAGAAAACTTTCCATTCGTGTTGAAAAAGATATGGAGAGGTTTACCATGCAGATTGATAGCATTTCGTTAATATTTTCGGAACACTTTAAAAACAACTCAATTTTGTTGTTATTTGGTGAAATCATGTCAAGGTGATTGCTACGCTATGCATGGATTAATATGAATATTTATGTTCGATAGTATCAATGATAGTATCTAACTAGCACCATCCGAAACGCAACTTTACTTCACATTATCGTTAAATAAATGTACTTTGCAATGGTCTGATTATTATTGACTTGAGGTCGTTTAGGCTCATTTCAGCCGCATTATAAGTACGACTAAAGTTATGTAATTGCATGACCTTTGTATGCATTGGGATCATTTACTTAATTTTGTTTTATATGAACCAACAATTACTCTATTGTCATTTCTTTGAGGCACCTATTTAAGAGCATGGCGTGTACAAAGATTGGGTAATTGTAACATGATGGTGCACATCTACTTACAACTTATTATGTGCCATTATCATAATCATCCTTGATTTTTAATTTCGCTATTGCACGATAGTCACTTTATAATCTTGATTCTAGCCTAACCTGTACGTAATTGAAGATACCTTTTAAACAACAAAAATTGCATCAACTGTACGCTATACGCATTATATAAACTTCTCACCTTTCAACCCTAAACGTTTCTTGCGCCTACCTTATTAGCTTCAGCTACTTCCACAATCTTTTTACCAGTAGCAGGGTTGATTACCGGGAAGGTCTTCTTGTCTACAGCATCCACAAATTCATTATTTATGAATAACTGAAAACCATTTGAAATAAGATAAAGTGAAATTTTTGAAACTGATCTACCTTAGTGTATTTAATAGTTGGGTTCGATCGATGAGCCATTGCAAAATGTGGTTACTTGATATTCAAGCCACTTCTACTTGAAAGTAATCTTAAAACCGTTCACATCACTCTTTAAATTCAATTGATAATAACAGGCATTTTGGTGGGGGCAAAATAGTAAACATTAACTTTCGGCACGTTTGATTCAAGTCACTGACAGTGATAGAAAACGGACATTCATCAAGTTTATTTTAACTGGAGATATGTTGGCTCATTGCAGGAAGTTTTTTAAGCGATACCATGCATCTAGTGATGCGACCATATTTAAAAGCATTGTTGAACTTTGAATTGGAGACTGTAGATTGTAGAACACTTTGAGGAAATATATTTAACGGATTTCTTGAATGTTGCACTTCGAAAACATATCTTATCAAGGTACCGACACGGTAGCGATGATGTTAATATCTTGTAGGGTGAAGTAGACTGAAAAAAAGTTTTTTTTGGTAGTTAATACGCTAATTTAAAGATTTTGGAAACTTTTGGAGCCTAAATACCTTTTCCAAGTGTTTTGGGCTCGTTAAATAATACCGCGAATACATAGTAACAAAGCCTAGTATTATTAGACACAGTGTGAAATAAAAATAATCGAATTTTTATTTATAGCGACAACTACTAAGACGTTGACAATGTTAGAAAGTACAGTACAACCATCGTAACCTTAGAAAATTTGCGCATGCATGTTCGGATTCGTCCGCACTTGATCGGCGTTTCTTACCAGGTTCGGCTATAATGTACATTCGGAACAGAAAACTACAACCAGACCAGAAGTAGTATTTTCACATTACTCACGGTATTAATGTCAATATAATTAAGAAAGTTATCGATTATTTATTACTAGTTAATAACACATTACTCAATTCTACAATAGTCATTTAACTTAACATTAGACTGAGCAATAATCAATAGCGGACTGAGCCTAAAAACGAACTACTTCTTACTGGGAGTGTACAATCCCTTCCCATGCCTTCTATATTAGCTGCGCAAAGCATACTTTTTCTAAGGTTACAGTGGTTTTACTGTACATTTCTACCTTCCGAGTAGTTATACAAAGTACGTACCTATAAAGCAGGCATGGGCAACCATTTTAGTGCATTTCCACATTTCCACAAAAATAAAACAAAATGCGCTACTGTGGCCACTTTATCCGTCCGTCCGTCCGTCCGTCCGTCCGTCCGTCCGTTCGTTCGTTCGTTGAGACGCTACTAGTTCTTTATCTTAAGAGCTATTGTTCTACTTTTTTCGCTCTTTGGTTCGTTATGGTGTCGAGGCTTGCACCAAGGAAGGAACTTTTCTGCGTTTATTGCTAAAAAAGTTATTGTAAAACATCAAACAAACCGTTTTTTACATGTTCCATAATTTTACACTTTTGTCGTTTATTAACGATCTTAGAGATCGTTTATAATTTTGTATTGCTGTCTGTTGGTCTGTCCGTCTGTTCCTTTGTCTGTCTGTCCCTCTATCTGTCCGTGTGATTGATAACTTTGTTTAGAAATGTCCGATCGCTTTTACATCTCCGTTAGTTATCAAATGAATTGCATGAAATTCAATATGGGCATAGCTTTAGCCATATAATACGCAATACCAAAAGTTGAGTCGAATCGATTCAAAATTCACAGTGCCCTTTTCGTATCTCGACCATTTATAAACCGAATTGCAAACTTTTTTATTTATAAAAGTATTTGAATGAAATTTGATACATAGGCACTTGGAATAAAGGAAAATCAAACGCCAATTTCAAAATTTGGTTTTGCGCATGCGCAGTGCCAACTTTCTTATTTAGAAAAGCATTGAAATGAAATTCTTCTTATAAACTGAATATAGCACGTCAAAAATGGATTGCCCATGTGCAACGCTAGCTTTCATATTTGTGGCCGGATTTTTACGATTTTAACAGAAGTTGCATCTTACAAATGGGAAGTGAATGCAAGTGGAAATGCGCTTTATGTAAATCGTTTACGATTACTTTTTAACTTGTTTTATTTTGTTAAAAGTCAGAAACCTTTTAGAAGGGTGAAATAATTATTTATATTGTCTAAACAATATTTAATTAACCCGCATTTTCGTGAACCCCGACAGATTTTTCAGGAAAGTTAGGAATTAAAGCACTTTTTAACCATTTCACAAAGTTATTTCGTCATGGTAGATACCACTTTTCGTTCCTAAGGAAAATCAACAAATTGCTGCCTACGCAATTACACATCACCAGCGTGAACAATAAACCGATACAACGAAAAATCGAAGGATCCTCAGTATTACAATCACAATTTATTTTAATCTCGATGACACGTTTTGATAAAAATCCATGTGGTCGCCAAACATACATCAAATTCATATGGCGGTCATTGAGATGATAATGCTCTTGGTCTTTTTTGAAACGACCTTAGTGCCAGAATAACGATTTTGACATGTTTTGATCAAAAGCCACCTGGTCGCCAAAAATAGATCAAATCCATGTTTTGGTCATTGAGACAATGCTCATGGTCTTTTTCCCAAAGATCTTGGTGCATAAATAACGATTTTGACATGTTTTGATCAAAATCCATGTGGCCTCAGAAAAAATAATCTTTGAATCGCACACATGCGGTTATTAAATGTACACTCTTTCAGCTTCAAGATAATGCGATTGAAAGCTTTTACAACACCAAATTCATGTGTAAAGAATATTTTGGATACATTTTGCTGTAAAACTTTTGACCTAGATCACAAAAAAGAGTTATATTGAATTGTTATACATCTAAGAGTCATAGCGAATAATCTAGCGAAAGTCCAAACTCGATACACGACCTAGGGAATGAAATATGTTGATTTCTATTATATTGAGCCCGCAGTTTTTCCGGTTCCCGATTCGCTCTAAGTCCTATAACTTTTGTTCCTGTTGAACCAGCTTCCTGAAAATCAATAGCGCCCGTCCTTAATACCCAAAGTACCCGTACAGCAAATTTCAACACAATCGGCCACTTTTAAAAAGAGTTTAGAGATTAGAGCGCACACGGACGGACGGACAGACAATACAAAACTATTAAAGAATCTGAGGATCCTTAATAAACTTGTTTTGCGCATGCGCAATTCGTTCCGACTTATGCAGGCAACTACGATTAAAATGATGGAGCAGAACGTTTGGAACAAACAAAAATGGTTATTAAAAAATACGCAAAACAATAGCATGGCCAGACCCATATTCGTTATTTGTGAACCAATTCTTCTAAAATTTTAGGTTAGGATTCTTCTTATGAACTGAAACTTAAGTAGCAAGTCAAAAATGGATTACCTACACATATGCAACGCTATCTTTCTTATTTGTGGCCGGATTTTTACGATTTTAACAGAAGTTTCATCTTACAAATGGGAAATGAATGCAAGTGGAATGGAAATGCGCTTTTTGTAAATCGTTTATCACTTTTTTAACTTGCTTAAATATACCTACATAGGCCATATGCATACATTTTGGAAAATTCCCTATATCTATTTAGGTCTGCACATTTATGATGAATTGATGATAAATACATTTCATTAGTATACACACACAGACCGAAGTATTTACGCTCTTTTAAATTTGAGAGCAACTATACTTAGAACAATAAAAAATAATATCCAAACAGAAATCGTTATACATCCATTATATACACTTTGTTTAGAAAGCCCCCAGCCTCTCTGAATAATGCTCCGTAAACTCTCGCTAGGTTGTGTTAATGGCAATATAGCACTCGCTGCTCGAAGTTCATAAACAAATCCTTCAATTGGCCATAAAATGCCGGACAAAAAAAACATGGGAAGGAAGGTTCCTAAAAGAATATAGATAGCTGTGGATTCGTCATCACAAGTACTCGATATCGTATAACCTAAAACAAATGTTTATTGAGATCGTTATCTTTGATACTAACCAAACCACATTCCACAAAATCCAATTAAAGCCACTAAGCCGGTGGCAAGAACTGTAGAGGCACTTAAGGTCATATCGAAGAAAAATATTGCAAGGGCCATTAACGAACCAATCTGTATAAGCATTAGGCCAGACTCGGAGATAATATGTGAAATTAAAAGTTCAAATGGAGTCACTCCCATGACGACTGATCTTTCGAAGATCCCTTCACGCCTTTCTACTAGCAAGGCGATCGCAGTTAATGCAGCCGGATAAAAGAAAGCGCACCTACAAAGCGATCTTGGTTTTATAATATCAAACGACATGAAATTAAGTTACGACGCCAGAATTCCTGGAGCTGCAAACCTTGTAAATTCAGTGTCGTTGGAACCATACACTGGATCATTCCACTAAAATTAAGATGATGTATTGTGGCGTGGCTATTTTTTAAGCATACCTTAAATGGAAGCTTTATTAGCAGTCCACTTTCATTACAAGATATCAAATAATCCTTCACGAAACGAGCGAAGGCATCGAGAATGTAGAAATCTAGGAATTGGGCAATGTCTTTGACTGCAATTGTAAATAAAATCAAATAGAAATAAATTCCAAATGCATCAAACCGGATGAATCTCGGTATACGTCAATCGTGGAATAAACCACATCCCAAGCATTGACGTGTTTAAAATCTTCTATACGTGCTCTTAATGCGGATGAATAATTATACCTTATCGTAATAGATCCATGCAATAGTCCTTTTTTAACGGAGAGGATTGCCATTTCTTCAGATTCAAACGGTATCTGAAAACGTTGAAGCGTACATAATGTTATTTTAGCCCTAGTTTTCGCCCATATTTTTGGTAGAATGATTGAAGTGCTGATAAAATAGAGTTCACGGGTGATTTTATAACACTTGAATGTGATTTTAATAGCAGAAAAGGTGGGATTTATGACAAGTAAAAATTTACGAACTATATATAAGCGTAAAAAATTCATTCCAGGACAGTTGATTTTATAGAAACCCCAAAAGTATGCAGAAAAAGTGACTTACCATATTAATCCTGTCACCTTTCACGTACTGCAGATATTGGCAACCCAGAGTTGTACTGTTGCACATCAAAATATCGCAACTGTTGTCGTTGCTTTCCTGATTAACAAACGCGACTTGAAGGTTAACAGGTTTATGACCAATCGCCAAATAAAACAAGACAAAAGCCACCAAAGGACCTACTACCACAGCAGTGATTATGATCCAATTCTTCCAGATCCATAGACAATTTTTCCAAACTAGGGCTTTCATGTGCAACATATCTATTTGGGGAAGGTAATCGGTTATTTTACTTTGGTAAGTGTTGGTATCTAGTAGTTCAGATGGATACAGGTCAGGGATTAAAGAAAATCGCTTTTGAAATCTGTTTCTAGCAACACATTCCCCAAACTCGGATGCATTATCATCAGACTCTTCTTCCACCTCATTAAGCGTTTCTAAAGGTATGATGTTGGCTTCGGTTATAACTGGAGCGGAAATAGTGTTTCGTCGCCGATGTGTAATTTGAGAGTTTTGAATTATGCTCAGTTTCAAAAATGCTTCTTCAAGACTGTTTATTCCAAATCGCGATAAAAGTTTATTTGGGGACTCCTCGGCAATAATGTATCCTTTGCGCATCAAACTAATCTGAAATTATATTCGCCTTACAAAAGTAAACCAAGGCCACAACATACAACATGTGCCTTTCTTGTCTCTTCAATGTAATGCGTCGTTATGATTACGGTTGTATAGCCATTTTTTGTAACATCCGTTAAATAATCCCATATGGTTTCTCTTAAAACTGGATCTAATCCTACCGTCGGCTCGTCCAAAATCAACAATTCCGGTCGATGGAGCAAGCTAGTAGCGAATGACACTCGGCGCTGTTGTCCTCCACTTAACGATTTAATTATTCGGTGATCTTCGGGCAGTTTTAGGAGATCTTTTAAAAATTGGAATCTTTCTTCGATTTCCTCAGTTGTCATTGCTGCTATCCAACCAAAATATTTTGCAGTTTCTTTTATTGTAAAATCACCGTATAATCCAATTTCCTTTAATAAAAAGTAAATCAAGATGACTTTCACACAATACAAAAAAAACTACCTGAGGCATGTAGCCAATTTTAGGGCTCGGTAATACACTACTCTTGGTTCCGGGCGAACCCCCTAACACCCATAACTCACCGGAGATTAGTTTCATTCGTCCGATAATGCAATTTAGCAATGTCGTTTTTCCACAACCGCTGGCACCCAGAAGACCATAGCTAATGCATAGAAGATCAGACCGTGTCTCAATTGAACATTTAAATAAATCAAAGGACGCGTGTTAAAACATGCATAGGCGTTCCCAGTACGGGAGAACTGAAATTCTTCACCTATATCAGATAGGTATAATGGAAGTATACCTACGCCGCCTACGCGTATTATTTTACACGTCCGTTGTTTTATACGAGACACTTACATTGTGCCTTTAGGGACAGTCATATTCAGTTGGTCTAGTACAATAATTTTATTTTCTTTAGAGCCGTAGTGTTTACATGCATTTCTGACGCATACCGCATGCTTCCTCCTCATCTCTACTGTGGAACCAGTCCTACCCCGATCTGGTAGCATATACGCTGTACCATCCTCTTGCATTGTCACGATCAAATGGTGAACTACAAATGTTTCATATTAAGTCAAATTGCGAGATAGTAGATAGGCACAGATATAGGTACGTATATCTGTGGTATAGGTGAAGGTGCCTAATCTATCCTATTTAGATAGGAGCGGACTGGTACCTAGTAAAGAAAAGTAATTTGGTAGTTCAAAAGCCTTGCATTTGAATAGAACAATTTCAATTGACCAGAACATCAACAAAGGTTTTTTTGATCTGGCGTTACATAAGTGCCATTGATATACACATGCGTAAGAAAATCATACTATTTTGGTAAGTCTGGAACTCATATAGAATTTCAATCAAACCTGATTCTAAATGGTTTAAAGTGGGGAATATAATGATATGTATACATTCATGTTTATTGGTACTTAATGCACAAAACCGTGGGGACAGCCTTGAGTCTAATGCATTTTCATTTATGCGATTTTATTATCTATAGGTACCTAGTTTATTTAATTAGTTACGTAAGCCAAATAATGGCCATGGAGTGCGAGATCCATGAAAAATGGATATCTAAAATTCAAAATTGTTGATTTAGATGGAGTGATGAAAAAATAAACAAATACACCGTATCGAAGGACCCGAAAGATAACTTAAAATGAAAGCTCACCTTATAACATGAACTTTTACGTTGACCCCTGTAGCTTTGTTGCATTATGACCGCTTGGTCCAAAAAAAATTTCCTGGAGAATGGAAAATTTGTTCGATAGGCATTCTCGCGCGATTAGGGCGTTGTGCGCGGGTGCACCATCCTGTTGAAATCAACAGTTTCCAATTTTTATTTTTTTTGTGTGCCGTACATCATTGTATTCATAATAACCCAGTTACCAAATTGTTGACAAAACAGCTTCCTAGCTCAATCCAAAAATAGCGCTTTTGTAAGAGTGTCTTCAAAAAATAATAAGTTTAGACAAATAATGAATAATAACGATAATTAAGAAAAATTAAGTTGTCCTATACTCGGAACTGGTAGTCCAAAAGAAATGACGCCCTCGGCTACACCCCAATTCTCGTGTATCCAGTTAAACCGCCATAAATCATTCCTGAAACTAATACCATATATATTTTATGCAAAAATGCTTGCCTCAAAACTATCCTATATAACCGTTACCACCGTAAACCGTATTTATTTTTGTTTATTCCGAATTCTATTGTTATACTTGGAAAAAAATAAAGTGTATCCCTTAAATTAATAATTCTAATTAGGTCGCGATGATAGGTAATTTTTAATAATAGGTACATTGTTTCCTAAATACTCCGGGTTGTTGTGTAACGACTTCTGGCCCTATAAAGTATACAAGATTTATCGCCAAAGTACAAACCACAAGAAAATTATATAAATTAACCAGACTTTTTGACTACTTCTAAAACTAGCCAGAGTAGTTGGATAAATTGTGAACTCAATATTTCTAGTAATACATAATATCCAGTTCGTTGGTTAGTATCATGGTGTAAACTAATCAATCCTCATTGATCTATTTTTAATCAAGAATTAATTTACTATCCTGAACTAAATTACCCAAAGAGGGTTGGTTCTAGGATTGGTTCGTTTACATAGATATTGAGTCCACATTTTATCCAACTACTGTGGATAGTTTGTGAACTAGTCAAAAATGCTGGTTAATCTATACAGGGTGGTGACTTGCATACCGCAACATAGTGTAATTCAATGTAAAATTTATAATATGCAATTATTTTAGAGCAAAAATGTATAAAGGTTTTTTTGTATTAAAAATTTTTTTACGCCAATCAACGATATTCGTTTTCAATTTTTTTCATAATAAAGACGGAAAATTGGAAAAATAAAACCCGCATCTTTTTCAATAATCTGTGATGGCATGGAATTTTATACTACAAAATATCGACACCTAACTACGACTGTCACATTGACACATTTACTTTATCATTATAGACTAGGCCATAATATTGCTTATGACCGATAATTACGACTCTAACGCATTATCAAGCAGTCGTACATAAAATATTATATTTAGAACAGCGAATTCAACATAAAGAAAGACCAAATTACTAAAAACGGTTTTCTAATATAACAATTTACAATAAATGTTCGACTAAGTCACCATTAAAGTGACAGTAACCAAATCGATAATTAAATCCAGTTCAAACTGCTACTAATTGATAATTGGATATCTTTTGACCTTTTTCTTGAACTTTAATTCATAATTCTTCTAAAGATCGAAAATTATATCGATTAATTCATTTAAGAATTTTATATTCAAAGATTTAAGTCTAAAAACTGGAGAATAAATTTGATAGTAAAAACATAAACAAAAATTTCTTGGTTTTCCTAGTTTTTATTTTTTAATCTTAAATAAGTTAAAACTTACATAATAACGAGCTGACTATGGAAAAAAATGAAACTAAGTCACTGACTAGATGACATTAGGAGTTAAATTAAATTTGTTTTCTAATGAAGTGTTTTTACTCTCGTTTTTACTTATTCTCCAGTCCGACGTAAATGAATTACCTATTCGAAAAATGAATTAATCGTTATGATTTTTGTTTTGGACTAAGCAGAAAAAATTGCCCCTTTTTTGCATTGAAGATTAGAAAATAAAAACCAGGAAAACCAAAATATTTCGAAAACTATCAGAGCTAGGTATAGGACATTATTATCAAAAGTTAAAAGTTTGTAGAGGAGCTAAAAGAGACAGAAAAATATACGGGATGTTCTTTGACTTCGGACCTCCAAAAAAAACACCATGTATCTAAGGTATTTTTTTAATATTTCGTAGTAGATATATTATCTTTAAAACTATTGGTTTTTCAGATATTAACCATATAATAAAAAAGTCGTACAATTACACGTAAAAGTAAAAAATGCATTAAATACAGGGGGTACATAAAAAATGCACCATTTTAGCGCCCTACTTTGTGAGCGCACCCTGTGTCATTACAAATATTTTAAGAATGTGGAGAATATTCAACCATACCATACCATGATACAAAAGCACTCTATCGAAAAATCTTATCTTCAAGGCATTAAGTTACTCCGCGCAATCGTTGTCTCACCCTGTACATGAATGTAACCAAACTGTATTCCACACTTTTAACACAAAAGGCGAAAGTTATTCAGATATCCACAGATAACATTTTGCACGCTTCCATCAAATAATACCAACTCTAGCTTTGAAAGCTTCGTAACATTTGGAAATTATGAGAACTAAAGAACCGTACTGATCGCTTCAAGATTCAAAACGCGAATGCTTCCAAATTCTTCCCCCTCTTAATTACTGATTAAAATTTTGGCGAATTATTCCTCAAATTGCCGATGTCTAAATTTTTCACTGATTAGTGTCTTTTTTACTACCTACGCTACCGATCCCGAACAGCTGTTAAATATAAACCTATCACAAATATATAATAATGTGAAATTTGTTGTATCTCTAAAAATAAGCTTGGTACAGACGAAAAACGTAGCAAATGAGCATGCCGCAAACGAAGTTCACTCTGTGAGTGACGTCATGCGCACAGTCTGGCGAAATCTGAACACCGGAGCATCCGGCCCTGGGTAACGACAAAGCGAATGTGGTTGTCCGCGACAATATCTTACTGGTGGTGGAGTCAAATCTTCAAATGCGCATTGCGAGTGAACAGCACGTCGGAAGTGGGTACCGACAAAGGGAATGTGGTAGCTTCCAACAAGCTCTGACTGATGGTTGAGTCAAAACTTTAAAAGTGAATTGCAGGTGAACGCGACATCAGAGGTGGCTACCGACAAAGAGAATGGGGTAACCTTCGACAGGGTCTTATTGATGGTGGAGTTCAAACTAGTTAATAGAATACTGCTCTGCCACACGCAAAAATGCGCTAAAGTCTCTTCAATCTCACACGAGGAATTTTATTAAATTTCTTTTCTTATAACGCAAATTGACTTCTTACAACTTCCGCCTCATTTCCTTAGCTTCAACTCTAGATTTCGTTTCATACTTCCTACCTTAGACCATATAGTACATGGACTGCTAATTGTAACTAAAATATGGTCAAGGACATCGCCTGGGTATGTGAGTTTGAGGGTAAACAAGTCTGTCCGAAGTTGTCCGCTTAGACACGATTTGAGACTGTCAACCTATAAATTAACAAACGTCACTTAATTAATCGTCTAGATATGGCAAAAAAAGCAAACCTATTCTTATTTGTGGACGGATAGAATAGAAGATAATCAATAGCTATTTATATATCAAGTACATAAACTGGGTCTTTATGGACGAGTCGTTTATTTAGCCGAGCGAGTTTACGAGCGAGGCGTAAATAAAGATGGCGAGTCCATAAAGACGGTTTATGTACGCGGTATATACAAAGCTTTATGTACGATTGCAAAAATTACTCTTTAAAGAAGAAAATTTAAGAAAATTTAATAATCGACATACAATCCATATATCACTGACAAGAGATGTCAAATATTTCGAAACTTAGTATCTAGTATTTTATGAAATATATGAAACGTTGAAAATGGTGATGGTATCAAAGGTTGCTGTTCTTGTTGCTAGGGTAACAACAGTTTGTTTAAAAATTTGTGCGTTTGTGAAAATTTTTGTAGTTGTGTAAAAATGGAAGAAATATCGCAAATTGCATCCGCAGCGAAGAAAACTCTTCTTCCCTGCAAATCGAGAACGGTATATCAAGAAGCTTACAATGCATACAAGAAATGGTGCGTAAAGAGAAATGTAAAAAAAACCGTTGAAGATACAATTCTGGCTTACTTTACTACCGATCTCGCGTCGTATAAAGCATCAAGCTTATGGAGTAAATATTCCATGCTACGCACTACGATTCATTTGAACGAAGGAGTAGATATTAGCAAGCTTCCCAATGTTATTCCGTTTCTTAAAAGAAAAGGAGAAGGATATACGCCAAAAAAATCGCTGATTCTAACGGATGAAAATGTGGATTCCTTTTTATTAAGCGCTCAGGATGAACACCATTTGCTAAATAAGGTATGTCCGTATTTTTAGAGGCATAATTTTTGAAGATATGTTTTAAGGTAATTCTTATCTTTGGAGTGGCGGGTGCCTGTAGACGTCGGGAATTGGTTTTTTTGCAGACGACAAATGTTGAAGATCAGGAAAAACATTTTCTAGTCAAGATCATCGATACGAAAACCAAAAAAGATAGATCGTTTGTCATATTGCCAGGAAAACACAATTTACTGCACATAATTAGAAAATACATAGCCATTCGTCCTAAAGTAACGTCACACAACAGATTTTTTATCAATTATCAGATGGAAAGTGCACGGTTCAACCTGTAGGGGTTCACAAAGTTGGTGGTGTTCCTAGTGTGGTGGCTAAATTCTTGAATTTAACAAATGCTTCTTCCTACACGGGCCATTCTTTTCGAAGAACTTCTGCAAGTCTTCTGGCAAATGCAGGTGGAAGTATGACTGACATCATGCGCCATGAAGGATGGCGCTCGGCTAGTGTCGCGGAAGGCTACGTCGAAGAGTCGGAAATGACAAAAGTCAACGTTGCGACGAAAATCCTAGGCGGAGCGGGTCCTTCATCTCATCATAAAGAAATCGAAGAAAGACATCAAATGAGTGGACAACTCTTTATAAAGAACAATGTGGATTGCGTGATTAATATTAACAATTACTACGCGAATAAGCACTCCCCGAAGTAGGTGTTTCTTCAGGTGTTTCGCATTTATATTTATTTTGATATGTGTAAATAAATTATTTTGACAACCGACCACGTGACATTTGTTTATGGCCGCCGTCCATAAAGAGCCACTTTATGGCCGCAAAAAGATATCATAAAGTATTGATTATTATACAATCGAACATAATAGTTATTTATTTTTCATTTGCCTATTATATGACAATTATATCTGTCATATGAGATATGTAAAGCCCGAGGGCATAATGAGAGGGCATAATGAGATGACAATCCATTATGCCCTCTCATTATGCCCTCAAACTGCCTGTCAAATATATTAACGGAGTTATGTAATAAAAAAAGGTGCTACTTGATTCGTATGAAGCACTAACAATAATCATTACATTTGTATATTGGAAATGCATTATTTGGAACGATGAAAAATAAAATGTTGTATGCACCTCAGGCATTACTCGATATTTAACTCTCGGGTGACTTACAATCCCTCGGGCCAGAGGCCCTCGGGCTCTGTCGCCCTCGGCATAAATATCGCCTTAATGCCCTTGATACATAAATAACTATTAAAGCTTCCCGTATTACGCAGTTAACGCAGTTACTATAAAAGCTACTCTTTACGCCATCCGAGTGGTGTTTAATCGACTTTAGTTTACCCTGAGATTCACATACCCACGACTACGGTGCCCTCTATCCGTGACCATCCATTTTGTATTGAAAGCATAGAGCTAATAGCAGTCCATGTACTATATGGTCTAAGCTTCCTACTCGAAAAATCCCGTACCTAGATTTAATTTTGAATGCAGAAAACCCGCAAGTGAAAACACTTATCGATGTGTCTGGGGATTTTTCCAGAACATAAAAAAAGAATGCAAAATGAATTTGTTCTTTTCACTATGAAAGCACTGTATAATGAAATGAATCAGACGGTCAAAAACATTTATCGACGTGGGTCGCATTAACGTCAATGTTCAGAAGAACTACTTACATGATTTAAGCAATGGAATAACTTATATACCTACCTATGTGTAAGTTTCTGCAATGCAAAGTGTATCATACACCGGCACTTCTTTGCACAAGGCTGGAAATGACTGAATGAGTGTTCTGATGTAAGGTCAAAATATTTTTAATTCAATGTTTTTTCATATTCGTTTCTATGTTAATTTCACGTTCGTTTTAGTACCTATAATTGATATGAGTAAGTGACGTCGACAATGGACCATAATTATACATTACGAAAGGTGGGCCTTCGAATAATTTCCTTTAATGCCGCAAAGTGGTTTACTTTGGGAATTTAAAGTCGATATGTACCTACTAAAATTAACAGACAATGGATACTTACAGAAACTTCCAAAGTTATGTGTAATTTTTCATGTGTTACGGCAGTATGCCACATGTCAAGGTATGTATATTGTGTATTTTTACTAGCAGACTCCGCGAGCTGCGTACCGCTTTTGGGTGGGACCTATTTTTTTCTCGTAGGGTAGGACATACGCTCGGATTCGACGGCTGCGTCGCTTCATCCCCCTTACGGCGAACGTCGTATACCGCCTATCAATCAATGTGTCAACTGCTGCGGTCTTTTGGCGCCTTGCATAGGTACTATACAGAGTGGCCCAACGAGAAGTATACAGAGGGTTTTTAGGGTATTAAATTTACAAATTTCGAAAAATCCTCGAACACGTCAATTTTGTATTCGAGGGGGGCAAATTTTGGAATACAAATCACGAAACCAAGTCTTGACCCCTCTACGTAGGGAGCTTAACCCCTAAAATTTTAAATGGAATCCTATGGCAAATGGCACATTATTTGAAAGCCAATTTAATCGTGATTACTAATCTGCTTTGCTTTTTAAATTCTATTGATTCGTTTCGGAGATAATTCGCATTTGAAATGTTTTTTTCTAAAAAAACCAAAACAAATGCGATCTAAGTCGCCCTTATTTAAATTTTATTTTGTCGCTTCAATTTGTTTGTTAACCTTAAGTGAACCTGTCAGTTCTCCGAAACGAATCAGTAAAATCAATAGAAAGATACAGTACCTCGCATTCTTACTTGGCCACCCTGTACGTAGGCTAGTCGAACCAAAAATCCTTGTATATTTTTTGCTTTCTAGGTGACTATTGGGATCACCATTTTTTGGACATGTTAAAATTTCATAAAATATCGGCGTTTTAGATCATTTTAAGCAACTTTTAAAGAACCATTTTTTTCCGTCTCTATGTATGTACACTGACGTAGGAAAAAAAACGAGATGGGTGGTAATTATTTGAAATACATTCCACATTCACACGATTAAAACGGAAATTTCACGAGCAATTGGTGTTTTTTCCCTACATCAGTCAGTGTACCTACGTGCCACGGTATACCGTGCTACGTGCGTACGTACGTTGGTAATTTTCCGTGGTAGTTATGCCGCGCCGCCGAGACGAGATTTGGTCTCGTCTCTTCTCGAATTTTCGAGATGAGACCGAGGTTCTCGTCTCGTCTCATCTCCGCGAGAAGAGACTAACCATCAGTCTCGGCGAATCTCGTCGAGACTCTCGTTTGAACCCAAAATTTTTGTGTACCTTTTTATTTGTACGGGTTTTTTTCTAAATTTGAATTTTGAATTTGAAAAATTCCAATTGTTCACAGAAACCGTCGGCGACTTTACTGATGTATGACTTAATTACTGCTATAGGTCCTATACAATAACGGTCACTTTTCGTAAATCCAGGAACAGCTTTATCTTATTTTATTGGTGGACAGTTTATTACTAAAGCTGTACTCTCATCAATAGAATAGAAACCTGCTTACACAGGCAATGGTAGGGAATGGTCTTATGTTGGACAAACAAGAATTGGTTTTAATAAGTTCTCGCGTATTCCTTTACATTAAAAGCACCTAATGCTCTTATTGTGTTTTCACCAAGTTTATGGCAATAAATCATTTGTTTGTAGATACTAATGTACTGCGTAGTTGGTACCATAAAAGTAAGATTTTACAAAGTAATTTGGTCCGATTGTCTTTAAATACTTATTTAAGTAACAACAAATTCAGTAGGTATGTCTTTTCTAGTTATAAGTATTACCAGTTACATTTTATAAAAGCTAATATTCTTTAGCCGCAGAGATGCGAATGGTTAAAAAATCCTTAAAATACGCGTAAGCAGGTAGGTACCCATATAATAGAGAAATTGTGTTTCGTGATTAGCAGATACTTGTCCTGCCTTATTGGTGCTTTTTATATGCTTTACAAGTCTACACCGTTTTTGGATAGTGCGCTTTCGAAAGTCTCGTCTCGCGGCAACACTATATAAATCCGAGGTAACGGCTCGACGGATTTTGTTCAAATTTTTTGGATATGTAGATATATTAGGCGTACGTAAACAAAAAGTAACGGCCTAAGTATTGCCGTTGGCGGGTTTGGGCTATTTCTGAAAAACCGAAAAAAGTCAGAAATTTTCGTTGATTTTTGACCACAGAGATTTCTCCCGACGTCAGTCGCATTGGCAAACTTGTTTTTTTCTGTTTCTTTACTATTAAATAAGTCGGAAAAATAAAATCTTCTACCGGACCTTTTGCAACCATTTAGCATTTTTACGTCTAATTTGACTGGACTAGGAAGTCTACGTGAACAAATTATTCCAGGCGTGAATTTTCCGGGAGCGAATTGTCCTGAGAGCGAGTTATCCTGGGAGCGAATTATCCGCCCGAACACTGTATTTCTGTATAGAGACGTGCATATTATTGGCAGCTTATAGTGATGATGTAACATCAGCGACAAAAATAATGATAATCGGAACCTTACAGCCACTTGGGCAGCCAACCATATTATATCTAAATTATTCGCAACGTTGATGTGTTTAAGGGCAGCATATGAATTAAAAAATTGAACCATTTATGAAATTAGGCATCCAACATTACTAATAAATCAGATATTAAATGACAGAGGTCGCAGCATGTTTTAAAATTTCAACGAGATAAAAAATATCTTGTTGACATTGATTAAATTACATTCAAAGGTACGCGCAAAAAACGCTATTGCACTATATCACAGCTGTTTACAGATGAGAATGAGCGAATATTTAAAAAAATATTTCTGAGGTCGCTTTTCTAACACCATGGCAAACGCCTTCTTAAACTGCCACAAAATCCATGGAAAATATTTGGATACCTGGCCATCTTACTGTGCTGACAGAAACTGTAACAGTAAGAAATCAAATTGTAACATGCGGAATACTTGATAAGTTTTTACTACATCTACGCGTAACCTGTGTTCCCAAAACAGGAACCGTACCTAGAATCCTATAGGAGCAGTTGAGTAAATAAATGTCACTCAACGATAGGAGCAAGTTATGTGAAATCTTTTGGGATACGTTTTCTTTATTACCGTCCTCACTACGTATTTATTCAATTTTGCATATGATGCCCTACAATTTGGACTTCTACCGGTTCCGGTTGATGCGCTAAAAATGTGTCGTACATACAAATATTTAAATTTAAATACCGGTGATTGCCTCCGGCCTTTGCTCTCTTTTCAACTATGCGCACAAGTATGTGAAGGTCTGGTGTTTGTGTTGCCTATCCACCTGTTACAATCGAAGGCTAGTTGAAGATTACATTACCTTTGAATATAAAATTTATATTCAAAGACATTACGCAGTGCTGTACGTAAAATAATCAGACTCTCTAGCTCTCTACAAAATACTTTCTGCCGTATCAATAAATTGAAAATTGTACATACACACATTTGTACCTAATCAAATTTGTACCCTAATAGCAGTCCGAACGTATGGGATCCTCCATTTCGAATGAAGAATTTTAGGTGTTCTTTGCCGTAATTTCTGATTTTTGATCGGTACTACCCTCATCTAGTTCGCGATCTGGAACTTCTGCTTCCAAACGACGCGTGATTACCTACTGCTTGGGTATTTTATTTAATACACCAAAATATATAATTTAACAAGTGTTTTTGTTTTCAAACACTCACAAAATTCAAAAAGGCTTATGGAATATTTAAAAAAACATAAATGACAGGTAATTTTACAAAAACATACATTACTGGTAATTTTACTGTAAAATTACGTATTTTTAAAATGGTTAGTTACATAAATTACATAAAATATAAATAGGAAATATGTCACTACTTATATTGCTATTACTGGTAGAATGAAACCAAAAACGAGAACAGAAAACATTGTACTGGTAAAAGGACACAAGAATGATAAAAGTGGCGTCTAGGATCCAAGAAGAACAGTACAACATTACAATAATAATTGGGAGGAGAATACCTGAATAAATTAATAAGGCAAGAAAGAGTGTTGGAAAAATCTGTACGAAGAGCCCAATCAAAATGTTTGGGAGCAAGGTTACAAAATAGCAGTTAAAAAACTGCAAAACTTAGTTCCGTACGAAATACCTACTCGACAGGCGTCAGGCATACGAAAGAAATAGAAGAATAGAAATAGAATAAAAAGAAACGATTTTCGATTACAAAAACCAGAAAAAGACATTTTGGAAAACAAATAAATGAAATAGAAGAACGCGATGATAAGACTCGACGTCCAAAACCAGCTGCAAACTGCTCATTGTAGAGTTTTTCCTTTGTGTCTCTATAAAAATTGCTACAAAATGTTTATATCTCTTTTCCACTCGGCTGCAAAAGTAAACACTAATTGGCCGTCTAATTGTATACCAGTATACCTATATTGAGAAATAATTCAAATAATTCTACAGTGCACGATGAATTTTTGAACATTCGAATACTTTTATTAGTCAATTTGTCAACAATTTTTTATTTAAATTTTTTTACCAGGTAACATCAACAAGAAAATAAAGGTTTGTATTTGGGCAATTTGTGTAGTACCTACCTATTGAAATTGTGGAATAAAACTTAAATTCTCGAACAAAACGAATCTTAAATCTACACCAAATTCAAGAAGTTCTTCATTCTCCAAATTGCAAATTTCAGTTAATATCAGGAGTTTAAAGATTGGCTGAATCCTTTAAGACCAATTACTTAAAGTTTTACGTTAAATTTTAAACAAACTATTTTACATTAGATCTTAAAGGTATTCAGTATTTATTTTGAATGTTTAAACAGAAATAAATAAAACTATAAGC